ACAGCGTCATGAACGTTGCCAATATTATCGGGAGCGCTCACCTTGTGGCCACCACTAAGCGCGTCCGTGCCGATTTTTGATCCCGAAATCTCCTTGGGAAAGAATCTAAGCTCACGCCGTGTGTCCTCTTCAGCGTCTTTAGACGAATCTGCAGCTGTCGCTGTGTCTTCCCGCAGTATGGCATCCCCAACCAGACAGTCCGCCAGTTAATTCGGCGGCCTGCATCAACCTGCTCCTTTGCCAGCCGATAAAGCAGCAAGTCCTCTTCGTCCGAGAAGTCTGCCATCGGGTTGCCACGAGATCTAGAAATCTATAATGCCATACATACCATAAGATATTTGGTCTCATACTTCTTCGCCTGATAACCTACCGACCTTTCACAAAGGTCCCATCCCCATCAATGTACTCAACACCAGGTTCAAGACACTCCTACCGCCAGCAAGGCAACTAAGCCCGGCTATCGATGCCGCTGCTATAAACGCTCTCGTGGCACTGCCCAGCCAACACGAAAGCACCCCTATTAGCCTCATCGACCGCGCCAAATGCCACCGTCACGTTCGTGACCATGCCAGCGGAGACGCCCCCGATCACATCCAACACGGCCACGGTCGCCGCGGAAGCCTCCGAGACCATGCTGTTGACGGCACACACGGCGGCGCTGCGGCCGCCGTTGTGCTTGCTGCCCGAGTCGCCCGCCACCATCGCGTCCGCGTCCGTGTCCATGTCGGCGGAGACGCCGCTGAACACGTCCACCAAGGCCACAGTCACCTCCATCGTGTCCGAGACCCTGCTGTCGATGTCGCTGGCGACGCCGCTGACGCTACTACCGGCGGCAATCTGCGTGCGGACGGCCGCTGTCGTTGCGCTCGCTGCCCGATCCGAATGCCACCGTCGCGTTCGTGACCATGCCAGCGGAGACGCATCCAACACGGCCACGGTCGCCGCGGAAGCCTCCGAGACCATGCTGTTGACGGCACACACGGCGGCGCTGCGGCCGCCGTTGTGCTTGCTGCCCGAGTCGCCCGCCACCATCGCATCCGTGTCGCCGACGGCGGAGACGTTTCCGACCAGGTCCATCAAGACCATGATTGGGGGAATGCCGATGGTAGGGCGTTTCGGCGAGGGAGAACGGGTAGAGCGGTCGCGATACATAATGTCACATAAATAGACTATTGGTATTTGAAGTGGTTTACACAACATGTAAAGGCTCGCCTTTTTGGTGCCCATTTTGCTTTGGTTGATCTTTTCAAGCTTTCCCGCGCTGACATTTTTTTCCATGTCTTCGCTTTGACCAATCAAAGCCTGTCTCCGAAAATTCGATGACAGTGATTGGCTGCCAAAGTTGAACAAGAAGTGTGATTGGTGGAATTAGTTCAAATCGATCCACTGTTGTTTGGTCGGCTTGCTCGGCTTGCTCCGAATCAAAATGACCTTCTCGCATCGGAGCTCATTTCCGATTTTGCAAGCTCGATCCCAAGTGTCCCTGGCTGACCACGCTCCGTTCTTCCGGTTTCCACGCCTCGAACGACGGTGGTACACATGTGCTGGCCGTACCCATCGTTTACGGCGCGTGGCTGCCCGTGATACTATGCACGCTGCGGTCAAGTCCAGCCTGCCAGTTCGCCCCTCACTCTCCAAGTCCAGCGTCGTTGGAGTCGCCACACGCTCAGCTTCTGTGTGTCGACGCATCTGCTGCTGCTGACCGCCTGTGCTACTTGACGCGCTGACCTCGGGACGCACCGGGCATGAAGTTGGACTCGCTGTCCGTCGTGTACCCACCCGACGACCACGTCCCGCACAACCGCCGCAACAGCGCATTTGTTGTCGATAACGCAGTGCTACTAGAACTGGCGCTGGGATGGTGTCGTTTGTCCCGTAGCCCCCAACTCTCCTCACGGCATTGCCGCCGGGTGTGGCTGTCAACCACGTTCAGCTGCGAGACGCCGAGATTCCGCTACAGGACCCCGAGATGGAGCGTCGGAGGCGGCACTGGACGACTGCCCACTAGACCTGCAGGTGGACGGCGTTCTCCCGCCCTTTTTCGCTTCCAGCGATCCTCATCGACGGACAACCGCACGTAGATGCCTCAGGAGGGAGCGGGGTGCCACCGGCGACAAAGATCAAGAGAGGCTACCGCTAGAAATGGAGCGTTCGAGTCCCATCGGGGGTCAAGATGGAGCCTGAAGTCGCCATGACGACGACGTCGCAAGCGCCCAATTTGCCCAGCGACAGGGACACGCAGGCGGCATTGGCACTTGGCAGCAGTGTATCTACGATGGGCGTCACCACTGTCGCCGTGTACCGTAGTTCGGACCGTCACTATGGGGTTTGCATGGGTCAACGTAACTGTGGAGACGATGCCGAAGCCGCTACAGCACTTACATTTGGTAGCAATACTGGAGTAAATCTAAGTACCGTATGTTACCGTTGAACGCTTTGAGTACTCGTACTATTCATGACTCTGTGTAATTACACTGTATTCATCCCGCACTCGATATCCGATGCATTTTGCACGGTACCTTATCAGCACAGCTACGCTGCATTCCGCATGGCGGGCATTGAACCTGCACCGGTGGGTTCAAACTCCACCATACTAACATCACATACAACGATGAGTCGAACCACCCCATACAAAGCCTAGTACGTTCGGTCCCTTTGAACACTTCGAACATGGTCATACAAATAACAATATATTCGGTCCATCATATCCACCCAACAACGCTGATCTCTAGTACTTCATCATTCTAGATTCTGCGCTCAAGTGGAAAGATGGTTGATCGCAGGAAGGACGCGGGTAATGTAGAGGTACGTGTTTTGGCTGTTTCGGCATCGTGTTGTTATGCTAGTGCTAATACGAACGGCTATGTATGGGTAGTTGCCAGGACCAACGAAGACGCATGCAAGCGATGGAAGGCGAATTTACGGATCGTCCAAGACGCTTGAAATGGTAGTGATGACATTGTTTCGGCCGTGCTGATGCTCATCGCATATATAGTCTTTGGCTTTGTGTAGCGCCGGTGAGCAACTGGAGTTCGACAATCTGTATCCAGTATTTGTGACCCCTTCTGGGCGAGAGCGGGTAAGTTCGTGTAGCTACGCAATAACGTTTGGCTAAAGCTAATCAGTGCCTACCTGTAGAGAACCGAAGCGAGATGTGGCACGTCGATCGACATAGACGACTTCATAATTGCACTGCCAGTGAAAGAGATGAACGACCTCTACGTGGCGATTTGTCGCGGTGAAGATGACCGTGCGCACAACTTTATCTGGATGATGCGTTGGCAGGAGCCGTGCATGGAGCTGTCTGAGGTAAGCCAAAATGTGTATCGTGGCTGGTTACGGGTAATGATATCTATGTTTGATTTCGATATGAAAATGTAGATCACGCGACCGCAAATTCGGGCACGTCTAAAATGTATAAACTCCAACTTGTTGCGGTATCGCGAGGAGCAAGACGAACATATCGAGCGCTTTATCGCGATGGAGGCGGACCCTTCCACACCACACGACACCCTCATGAACCATTATAAGGAAGGCCTTGACTTGCAGAAACGCTACAACATAGTTGCCGATCTAGCCACAGGTATGGACAGAGTCGATATGCTGGCGGACCAACTCAAGGATCAAGCTCACTGGACATGCTCTTGCGAGAAGCGCGCATACCACCGCTCGCCCCAATGGCTTCAAGAGCAACCTCTCGACTTGGCACCATAAGCTCTAAGGCCGCGCTGGTTTTGGCCTCCCCGCTATCATGGGTGATATCCAGTGGATTCGCAGAGCAGGACGCTCCAAGGTGAAAACACGTTACTGAAGTTACTATGTCCTCCCCTAGTAACAGAGCTATATGCAATTAAGTTGAATGTAATATCTCAAGTAATGTTTCATCTAGTGTGAATTGATAATTCTAACGAAACCCAAAGCTGTCTGAATACAGTGATCCTTTGCTCCAGCACGTATACCCATTCCGCCCACATCCACCAAGGCCACGGTCACCTCCATCGTGTCCGAGACCCTGCTGTCGATGTCGCTGGCGACGCCGCTGACGCTACTACCGGCGGCAACCTGCGTGCGGACTGCCGCTGTCGTTGCGCTCGCTGCCCGAGCCGAATGCCACCGTCGCGTTCGTGACCATGCCAGCGGAGACGCCCCCGATCACATCCAACACGGCCACGGTCGCCGCGGAAGCCTCCGAGACCATGCTGTTGACGGCACACACGGCGGCGCTGCGGCCGCCGTTGTGCTTGCTGCCCGAGATGCCCGCAGTCATCGCGTGCTTGTCGCCGCCGTCGGAGACGCTCCGGCCAGGTCCAGGACAGCCGCCATAGTCGCCAGCGTCGCATCGGAGACCACGGCGCCGCCGCTTCACAACTAGGAAAAGCCCCACATAATCCACAAGATGGCGCTGTGATCCACGGTACTGCTCTTACTAAAAGTTTTGTTAGGGTGCTGTTCTCACGGTACTGCTTCCACTGATACTTTTGTCGATTCGCAGCGAATCACAGAGAAGCAGTAAAATGATGCCTCACGTATCTTTTTGATCGAAAGGTCGCTTCAAACCTCCCATCACGTATACTTTTGATCAGTTGGCCTCGCAAACCTAATACAGCAAAATGATACCTCATGCATCATTTTACCCCGTTTTACTTAAAGTTTGTATGGTGTCCCTTCAAACAGAAATGTATGGCGTTAACGATAGGGTTAATATTCACAAAGATCATGGACGTGTACGAGAT